TACGGCTGTCTGTAAAGTACTGTTTTACGGCTGTCTGTAAAGTACTGTTTTACGGCTGTCTGTAAAGTACTGTTTTACGGCTGTCCTGTAAAGTACTGTTTCACGGCTGCCTGTAAAGTACTGTTTCACGGCTGCCTGTAAAATACTGTTTCACGGTCTTTTTTTTTGACAGAAGTGTAAAATTTCCATTGACTGTTCGTTTTCGTTTTTACATTAAGGTAAACTGTAGTTTAAATCCAGTTGAATTCAAACAAGTCTTATTTTACCTTTAAAATATAATGTCTTATTTTCATTTGACTACAGCTAATTTCCTTAATTATCTTTTACTTTCGCTTCTATCAAAATCATCTAATTTTTCGTCTCTTTTCCTTAATTTTTTCCTCATCGAGTCTGTTTTTTATACAACCGGCCACAACCACAAACCGCTACATTTGTTCTTCTCCATACTAAATCTTCGAAGATCCTTTATCATGATGATTATGAGACAGATCCTTGAATACCACAGAAATACCAAAACTTTTTAACTTTAAAAATACTGCTCTTGATCCGCCTAGTATTATTTATAGGTCGTAAGGAAAGTTTTAATGCCATTCAAATATTTTATGTAAAATTGAAGATTGGATTTATATTTTAAGAATTACAGATAATTATATCCACTCCAAGTTATTAAGTTTTTCCAAGTGTATTTTGTTTTATCGCTAAACATTTGTGACTTGCACATCGGATAATCTATTTATGTATAGCTACGCTAGCGACATAAGACAGTTTGAAGTTTCGTTGTATGATGTGGTGTATTTAATGATGCAGAAGAATTATCCACTCACTAACGTTTTTCGGCAAAACCCTAAAATAACGCAGTTAAAGCATCGTCATGTCTTGTCTTCATTTTTGCTATTACTGTATGAGTGTCATTGAAATATATAATGAACAAATGAAATGCAGTAGGTTAACGTAACCCTATTTAAACTAACATGAAACTGTAAAGATGTTACATACAATAAAACTTGTATTTCCTTCCTTTCGACTACCTCAAGTAATAATTATAACGTAAATTTTCTAATCAAAACGGATCATTGTAAAATTATATAGATAAAAGAACCAGACATTATAAATATTGTTGAGTTTCATTTAATGTTTTCCATTATTGGTCAGTTCGTTTCAGAACAATACCCATCAACACTAGCCTGAAAGCCTATTCGGATGCAGTAGATGTTTACATGTTAGGTCCAAGAGGAACAATTATGAGAAAATGGCTTTCTCGTCAGACCAACCGAGGTGAGTTTCAGTTAAACTGACACAATTCTATTTTTAAGTGTTGCATATATCGTATTTTACAACATATAAGAAGCGCCCACATTTTAGCAAATACTATTTAGGAAAAAACATTTCAGTGTATCAAAGCATTTTTCTGTCTTTGAATGGGATTCTTTTAACCAATACAAAAAGAGTAGCATTTACCGTTAGTCTCTCCAGGGTAAGGAGACGTAAGTAATGGGTTATTTTTCAAATGACAAACATATTTCCGTTGGTGTTCGTTGTGAATAATAGTGTCCCCGGCGAGTAAACTGTACCGGCCTGACGTGGCAGTAAGGAAAAAGGCCAGAGTGTCTTTTACACGTGAGCAGTTAAGAACTGTTGCATGTTACAAATAGGAATTGTAGTAGACAGTAGTGTTTATGAAAACTTAGAAAAACTTACTGTTTAGCACTGAAAAACCAGATGACCTGTTCAGCTATACTGACGCTAATCGTCTTGGATTATTATTATCCGTAATAAATCCACTCGTATGTTTAGCAACTTTTTCATTAATTATAACCCTAATCACATATTTTGTCTATATTAATTTTTATATTGTTACGTCTCTGGTCGTTAGTTAATTTCCCGTATAATTTCTTTCCGATGAAACTTT